ACAGACAGACATACATATGTATTCTTTATATATTCATATATAAGTCAACATAACATAGAAGGATGCAGGATGCATTTTTTTATGGGTAAGTGTAATTATTTGTTGTTCGATTTTGTAATTTTCGCATGTTCAGTGGGCTAACAGCTCTAACTTTAACAAATGGTGGATTATTTTTTTTCCTTTTTTTTTGACGGAATAGTTTTTTTTTTCTCACCTATAGCTTGAGTCGAAATGCAGGAGATTCGAATCAGAAGGTGTGTATGTTACTCTTCCAACTAAAATTAAAGAGTTCAAGAGCGTAATATAATCAGTAAAGAGTTTGAAGGAAAACTGATAATGATTTCGCATTCGATCGATAACGTAGTTGAACATATGGACTCCATTCTCTATTGGATCATACCTGCCAACAGCAGTTTTCTCGAAAAATGATAAGCGCTTCTTGAACACTTTCAATGGAAATGTTTATTTATAAAATATTATTTATTAATTTTAGCGGGTAAAATAAACCATAAGGGTCAAGAAACGCGACAATTTTCACTAAAACGCGAATATTTTTAGTCCCGACGATATCACAAATACTTTAAATGGTCACTTCTGACAATTACAATGATGCTGATAGCCAACATATCGGATAAAAGAAATTGTTAATCATTCCGCTTTTAAGTCAAGAACCGGTGGGCAGATTTTGACAATTCTCATCAATTCGGAACGGCCTCTTGCCAGAAAAGGATAAAATCTAAGAAAATCGCCAATAAAAAAGTCAATTTTTTGTTATATATTTTTTATTTAAAAAAATAAAAAATTTTTACCGCATGAAATTTTTTCAATTTGCCTTACAGTTAGCAAACTGGATCTAGATTAAAATTTTCATATTCAATACTCATACTTCAAATTAATCCTCCTAAAGTAGTGTAACCCAAAAAAGGTTCTAACATACAGCGTTACCTAAAATTCGACATACTCGGTCGAACCACACAAGTAAAACACATAAATTTTTATAAGAGTTAAAGTGGGAATACATAAAGTGCTTATTTGGCTGTCTTAAGACATCGGCTGGCGTCTTCGGAAATTAACAAAGGAACTTAGGTCCAAAATCGAACTAAGTCAACCTAAAACTCCTTTGTTTCTCCAAAAATAAAACCACAAATGAAATTACCATTACGAGCAATTTTTTGTCATTTCCTACCCCTAACCCTCTCATACAAACAGAGACTTGCCTAATATAAAGGCGGACTTATAAACTTGGTAAATATTTATTTGACCCATTAAGTGACGCATTTTTTAAAACCTTCACCATATATAGTATGGAGCATGGCATAATTACAGAAGGTAGAACAAAGCTACCCCCTAAATACAATTTTTTTTTCTTTTGGTGTCCTTATTTTGTCAAAACATAGACACATTTTGTATATGTGTGTATTGTTTTGAATAAAAAATTCGATAATTTGAAATTATTTCAAATTTGGTAGCAAAATAAATGCAAATTTTCGACGTAAATGAGTAACAAATGCTACAATTTTGTGATAAAACTGTATTGTCCTACTATATTAGATTCAAATATAATAATTTTGTTAAAAAATTAAAAGTAAACAAAGCCATCTGTTGCATATTTAAAAGTCTATTTGACACTATAAGACTCCAGCACAGAGTTGCACTAGTTTCTTTGAATTTTAGACACCTTTCTTATTAAGCCATTGTATGGAGAGCATATTAATAGTCTGTTCACAGAACTTGTTCAAGGCAGAGAAGCAATGGTTATCTAGACAATCAAGATTTTTTTTTTGAGTTCATTTACTTTTTTCGTCTGGGAGTTAAAGCCCGTTTTACCATTTTTTGGGTCAGTGGCAGAATAGATGCATTTAGGTATTGAAAAGTGCCAAACACCGATTTTTTTAGATTTGGCATCCTCTGCAGGTCATAATTATAGACCAATCGACACGGAATTTTGCATGGGTTTAGAGTTTAGAACAGGGAAGAAGTGCACAAGTTCGGATGGACACAGAATAACATATGTGTTTAAATTTTGTTAATGAACGATAGATATTTTTTGATTGTCTAGGAGCATGGCAAAACAATAAAGGTGAACTCATTTGCTAAACTTAATATGGCAACCCTTTTATGAGGAACTCGATCTTGTCATTTTTTAAATAAAATCTATTTTCATATCTAAAATATTTTCGTATGACGAGTGGCAGATTTTACAAAAATTATAAATAATCGTTTATGGTTCCATATCTTACAAATATTTCGTTTATTTATCTATTCTTGGACTTAAACATATAAAGATTTCAAGCCCTTCATCTTAAGGAAACGTTTTCGGTGATGTCAGTTCTTGTGTAGGCCTCGAATGACGTTTTACTTTAGGTCCGCCTTTAAGGATCAAATCCCCAGACTTACCAGCGAAAAATGTTGCCAAAATTTTCACAATGCCCACTATTTGGATTCAGCGAACCCAAATTCAACCAATATTTTATTTTCTTATTTTAAATTATAGTCTTCTTTGACTTTTATACTTTCAAAAAAGGCGTGAAATGGTTTAAATTTTGAAATGTGAAAAACTCGCTTTACATATGACTCTAACGCTTTGTGGAAACTAGCCTTCGAGTTTTTCAACAATTTTTACAAATATAAATAATTTTTCATTCAACATTTTAAATTCCATAATTCGTTTGACAGTTCATTGTCCCAGCAGCTGTGTCGATGCTTCTACCTATATTCTTCTACCATCAGTAGTACCATGGTATTGCCACGGATATCATTTTCCTCGAGAGACAATTCCTCCAATCATGAATAATTGAGGAGAAATATTTCCTGAAGATGGCAACGCGTAACGTGCATAAATTGGTGCAAATTTGAAGTGTTTTTTTTTTATAAAAATTATCTATTTCATAACTCTTACTTACTGGCATTTTTAAATCAGAATCTGATATAAAATGTTAAAAAGAATAAAATGCTAAATTAAAAATTGGAAATATTATATAAATTATGGTTTTTAAAAATACCTATTTGATGCGTTGCAAATTTTGAAACGGAGGGTATATTAAGGGTGGAAATGCATAAAGAACATATTTGGCTAGCTTAGTTCATCGGCTGGTTTAAGTTTGACTTACTTCGATTTTGGCCATAGGCTCTTTGTTCATATCCGAGGAAGAATGGCGATGACTTAAGCCAGCCAGATAAGCGCCTTATGTATTCCCACCTTAACTTTGTCATTGCGTTTGTAACATCCTAAGTCGATTTAACTATGTCTGTCTGTTGAAATCACGATACAGCCCACATTATTTGACGTAGAGCAAAATTTGGCAAAACAAATTTTATTGTGTCTAGGATGGTTGGTATTGAAAATGAGATAAAGGCCCACGTTTTGGTATAGCCGTCATATACCGGTACTTTCCGATAGTCGTATTTTGATGATTTTCGCCACATTTTTTACACGGATTTGTCTCAAAATTGGCATTTGTTGGTCATAATGGGTTCTAGCTTCGGTGGCGGATCATAGTATATATAGGTCCACGTTTTCATATAGCCCACATAATGGTACCTCCGGATATTCAGTATTTTGATGATTGTTGCAAAATTTTTCACGGATTTGTCTAGCTCCGGTGGCGAAACATTGTATGTATTGTTCCACGTTTTTGTATAGCCCTCATATAACAGTACCTCCCGATAGACAGTATTTTGATGATTTTCTCCACAGGTTATACAGATAGTTCAATACCATTGAAACATTTTGTACGCATCTAGTTGAAATTTGCAAAATCTCGAGTTTATTTAATGATTCCAGATTTAAGAATTTCCTCAGTTCGTTGATCACTTTACCCTTCTATACATGTTGATAGTTCCAGGGCGCTTAATACTATTGGGTTATAACCTGTTTATGTTTCGTCTAGCCAGTGACTATGAGTCAGATATTTGAACTCAAATCTTTTACATATAGATTTAAAGAATAATTCTGTTCCTTCTTTTTCAAGGAGTGAATGGATGTCATATTCCAAACTCTAAGGCCAAGTTCTCACATTCGATAAAGAATACATTTCAATAGAAATGAATTTCAGTCTATACATATTTGTTCTGTTCCAGAACTGCAAGAATGTAAAAGTATTTAATATGATAACCGATTTACCTCTTCTGGGACAGAGCACTTATCTTTATTAAATTGGACAACAAGTGAGTGTTATAGCATGTTTACCCCGCATTTAGTAAGCCCATTGTATTTTCATGGCATATACATCAAATAAATTAAATAAACATACTATTAGAAGTAGACCCCACCCCTGTTGTTTTAAACAAAATAGCTTTGTCTAAAAACAGAAGCATGTATCTTTCAATTTTAGACTGTAGTAGATGTATGTATCCCACCCACGAAAAGGCAATCCCATCTAGACTTTGCTTTCAAGAAGAATCGATATACGTTTTCGGTCAAAACAATTTTTTTTAGTTTATACCTGCCTTTCGTTAACTTTCCAACGATTGCTCTGTTCCAGAACCAGTTAGTATGTAAAAAAGTTACTACGATAACCGATTCTTCCTTTGTATCGATTGATAGTTATGGAACAAAGTAGATGTCTCTTAAATATACAAATAGCTTTGGGGCTTAAAGTGACTATGTAAAAATATTCTAACCTATCTTCATTCAACAGTAGATACTCTCGAACAAATATTTTCTACCGTTGGTACACTACATTTACATAAGAATTTTTTAATTGTGTAAGTATTATCTCACTTTGGTCGGATATTTTGTTTAAAGTTCACACACTCTAGGTATATGCATAGTCATTGTTCGAAATCCATTTTTGTATTTCTCACATCCTCTTCCTAATGAGCTGAAATATTTTTTTCAGATTTCCCACCAAATAAACGTAACCAAAAGTTTTTTGTTTGGTTGTTGGATTTTATTATTTAATGTATTTTTCTTTTCAATCAATTTATGTCTTTTGTTTTAGAACTCAAGACATGTTTTTTTAACTATTTGAGACATTTTAAATTATACATATACGATTAAAAAAACGAAATCAATTATATTTTGTTCAAATACTCAAAAGCAGCCACTGCTAGATTTTCTTTCAACATTTTACTTTTTTCTTCAGATTCTCAATATTTGAGCAAAATTATTCTTTATCTAGAGATGAAGCAATACAAAGAAAAAAACAAGCAAAAATGAAAAAAATACATAGTATATAAAAGAAATAAACAAACAAAAAAAGAAGATAATATAGGGATATAAAGTGGATGGGAGTTGGTTGCTTTCGCAGGACATGTTTGTGGGATTAATTTGTTTTTATTTTTTCATCTTTTGTTTTGTTTTAATAATATGGGAATATTTTCATCTTTGTTGCAAAGAATTACATGAAAATTGTGTTTTGATTTTGTTCTTTTTCATCATTTTCTTTCTCTTTATCTTTTGCGTGATTATCTCAACTTAGTGTCAATGTTTTTCATTTTCTTTCTTAGATCAGACAAGAGTACACATTCAAATGACAAAGCATTGTTTGTTGTTTTAGATTGTTTTTATGAGACAAAATGACAATTATTTTTTATGAAATGAACAAAAGGCATTACTCTCTTTTGTGATGGCCAACGAAGTTTTTCTTTCTTTCCTCTTCCTAGTTTATTTTTGTGGAATTATATTTGTTCTGTTATCGTAGAGAATGGGATCGAGAGAGAGAGTGGAGAGCTGAACTTTAATGAAATTTTATTTTACGAACACACATGACTTTCCTAACGATCCTCGTCCTCTACTGAGCCGGATGTGGCGGCATTATAAGCTGGAACTGTTGACTTTGTTGGGGATGTTGCGTCGTCGTTGGATAGTAGGGACTGGGCATGATCTGTGAGGGATGGATGGTTAGGGGACACACAACATACTGTTGCGCTTGGGGAGCAAAAGTGGGTTGAGGACCCCCGCCAGCGGGGGATGGCTGTGGTTGTGGATGGAACGTTTGATGTGGTTGACCTGGAGAAGGTGTTGTAGATGGTGGTGTTTGTGCCAAGAATTGCAACTGTTGTGATTCATACATGCGGACCTGAGAATTAAACGGGAAAAAACATCAGTCTCAACATTCAAGTTATTTTATTTTTAGAGGACTTACCATTGGTGGCGCATATGGCTGTGATTGGAAATGTGGTGCATGCGGTGTTTGAGGATAAGGTATGAACTGCGCTTGCAATGGTCCGGCAGCTAACAATGGCTGTCCCGTAGCCGCAGATGCATGCATTTGTGAGGGTGTCATCGGCCCTGAAATAGAGATAATTGAAAGTATTTAATATTGTATAAGAGGGTTAAATAATTGTTTTGGAACTAATGAAGTGTACTGGAATTCGATTTCTTAATTTGGTATTCATCATTAGTATTAGTATTGGATATTTTAAGTAAATCTAAAAAGCACTTGGCAGGACGAGTTTATAATCATGTTAGAGCCTTCAAGTTATTTCACGGCTGCCACGAGAAAGGTGAAAAAACATAATTGTGTATCTGTAGCTTGACAGAAAATAATGACGAATACTGGTTCACAGTCTTTTTAAATTCATTAATCCTTCGATATTTTGACCTTGAAAGGTAACTCAAGAGGATTTTTTATTCCAGATGCCCAAAAATATAGCGCCTAATGTTAGGGCTTTCTGGGTCCTACAACCAAACACAGAACAAAAAAGTAAAAAGTATGCGGTCGGGTTCTATGGCCGATGGTATGAGATCGACACCTTTCTCACTGAGCTTTCCGCCTACTTTAACGCGAAGAATATCTTTACCATACGAACTACGAATATGAAAACACAGCCGAATGCTTAGGCCCAGTGGCAAATAATTCCGGCCACTAACTACCCCAAGATTCTAGGGGTCACATTGGACAGCATGTTAAGTCGTCCGCACAAGCCACAGCATTCTCCATAAAATTAAAATTTACCAACTAGGTGCTCAAGGTGCTAGCTTACAGCCCTTGGGACGCGAATAAACATAAGCTTTTGTCCTCCTCGATAGGTCGATTTGTGGTGAGTTATGCGGCTTCAGTGTGGTCTTCGAACACTAGTGTTAAGCAGTAGAAGAATATTCAAACCCGCCTGAATGCTGCCCTGAAAACTGCAACAAGGTGCTCTATCATGACGTCAGTGAGCCATCAACAGGAGAAAGCGAAGGTCAACATAACCACATGCTTTCATAAGAAGCAATACCTGCTGGGTGTTACTGTGTGAGTTATGTGAGGAGCCAACTATGTAGTCAACCACTACAGTGCCGTCTTCGAAGTAGACCCTATCCAATTCGTATTGGTCGTAAAATGATGAAGATTTCGAAGCGTCTGCCCGACTACACTGCATATCTTTAATTACCATGACAAACCTACCTCACTCCAGAAGATCTTTGGCTACAGCTTATCAGAGCATCTCATTTCTTAAATCTGGATGTTAAAGCAGAATCTAATTTAAACACCTTACACATGTTACTGCTCAACAATAATAGCAATCATACACAGAAGTTGGTTTGACCTTAACTTGAGGATTACGTCCATTTTCCGACCTGGAGATTGTGATATCTGTTTCAAACAATGTTTTTTTTTTTATTTTTTTTTTGAGAGTGTTACCTATGAAAGGGGTTTTTCATAAGTAGGATTTTTTTCTGTGGAATAGTATGTTTTTGTTGTTTTTGTAAATGATGAACCCTATATAGGCTACGTGTCTAACAGATCCAATGAACTACCCTTTAAATTTACTCGTTACCCTGCCCGCAAGTACTGAAGGATATGTTGCTACATATAACTTCCATGTTACGAGTTCCTTTATTAAATTTGGGGCTGAAACCTGGAAGACAGCATAATATCGTGGCCAAATCATTCGGCTGGTCAACCAAGAGGTAATAGCTAACATTTGAACATCTTCTTTCTGGACTCTACCTAAAAGTTGAACACCTACGTTTGTCTGTCCCACTTCGTTTGTTATATGGTTCTAGGGTGCCACAATGTTTATCTTTAAAACTATACTTGAAAGTATAATAATCAAGAAGCTGAATACAACTCCAAGTTCTTTCGGATATCCATATGATAATTTTCAATGTAAAGGAAGTAAGTAATATGGACTTGTTTAAATTATCTTTAAATTTGCAACTCATTCAGAATATGAGAATATTAAGAAACATTGAAATATTAAAATACTTTTTCAACGGCGATTGTTTTACCCAACTATCATAAGAAGCAAAGTCTTAATACTCACCATAAGTGTTTCGTCTCATACGTGGTTGCTGAGCAGCTTGTGGATGAGCCGAAGCATGGAATGCAGCAGCTGGTTGTTGACCAGTCATCATGTATATTGGTGTTTGTTGACCCGCAGCAGCTGGTATTGGAGCACCTTGGGTATAGATTGTTGTCAGGGTTACCGGTGTTTGTGGTGTATGGGGTCGTGAGGGATTTGGGGTACTGGGACTGCGAGGCGTGAATGGCTTCGCCGATGGATTTAGGACGTGTGTCTTCTTAACGGGTGGCGCTGTTGTCCCAGTTGTACCCGTCGATGTGCTGGTATTGTTCGAAGCAGCCGATTGCGGTAATGACGACGATGACACTGCAACATTGGTATTGCCAGACGGAGGTGTTGTCTTATCCGAAGGTGTTGAACATGTGTTCGAAGCGGAGGCAGATGTAGCCACGGATGTATCGGATTTGGTGAGTGGTGTTTGTTGTTGTTGCTGCTGCTGTTGGGGTGGTGTGGTATTGTCAACAACAGGTGGTGTTGTCTGTTGTTGCATGGATTGACTACCAACTGATTGTGGTGAAATATTTTGTTGTGTCTGCTGCGTGGGTTGCTGGGAATTGGTGGGGGCTGGTGCCACATTTGCTTGCTCCTGCAATATGTGTGGGGGCTGTTGTGGCTGCTGCTGTTGCTGCACATGTTGCATGGGCATGGACGATGGTCCCGAGTTGTGTTGTTGCACATGCTGCATTTGCTTCTGTGTCTGCTGCTGCTGAGGTTGTTGCTGCGGCGGAGGCATATTCTGTTGCATATGTTGCATGTGTGGAGGCACATAATGCTGTTGCTGAGGCGGTTGTTGCCCGCTATGATGCTGCTGCTGTGAAGGCGGTGGTCCACCGTGATGTTGTTGTTGCTGCTGCTGGCCTACATGCTGCATGTTGACATGTGCTTGTTGGGGTGGAGGTTGATGGGCGGCAACATGAGACGGCTGCTGTTGTTGCACCTGTTGCATATGGGGCGGTTGTTGCTGCTGTTGTTGTTGCTGTGGTGGTGATACCGATGGCTGTGGCTGGTGACCTTTGTTCGGGTTCATATGCTGTGTCTGTGGGGCCGACTGTTGTTGCTGCTGCTGTGTTGGTGGACCAGGAGATGGTGATGTGTTGGCCAATTGGAAATCTTGTCCAAATTGTCGTAAGTCTTGCAATTGATTATCACGAGGTCTCATTTGACGTTGAGGCTGTGGTGGTGGCTGCTGTTGAACAGCGGGTCCTGACATTCCAGGACCATGAGAGCCCGGCCCACCACCTTGCAAAGGTGGTGAACTACCACTAATACCCTGTCCCTGGCCACCATGGGGTGGGCCATGCTGAGAATGTCTCATTTGATTTTGATTATCATTGCCACCGTAGGTCATCGAAGAATTGGACGATGATCCCGAATATTGGCGCATTGGCCTTTGAGGCAATGGTTTACCGGATCCGCCGCCTCCTCCACCCATATTACTGCCACCACCTCCTCCACCTTCTCCATTTAGTTTAGAGCCACCCCTATATTGAGAGGGACCACCACCATGCATAGCCGGTGGTGTATAAGGTTGATATGATGGCTGTGATTGTTGTTGATTTTGCATAATCATGGTGTTGTAAATGTTTTGCTTCTGTCCACCACCGCTTTGATTGCCACTTTGTGACATACCGCCGGCACCAACATTACCACCACTGCCGCTTTGCGACATGCCAGTGGGACCACCGCTACTGTTAGGCGGCGGTGTGTTGCGTACCATTTTCTGATTGAGCGGAGGATTTGATTTGCGTTTCATCATCGAACCACCACTTTGGTACTTGTTACCACCATCTTGTTGCGACATCTGTGACGAGGATGGAGCTGAACCCTTCATACCACCTGACATGCCACCGGCAGATGATTGCGTAGAGTTCGGTCCTTGGCCCATCCCCGAAACTGATGACGAAAGGCTATTGCCCATCATGCGGTCGTTGCGATCATTGCGGTCATTACGGTCCATACGATCGTTACGGTCGTTACGATCATCACGGTCATGACCACTATGTCCGCCGCCACGAGGTGTTTGACCACCCATCGATTGTGATGACATGGAAACAGGTGGTGGTGGTCCGTTAATAGAACGCGTAGGCTTGGTAATATAACGTTCAGTCATAACCGGAGGCTCGTAACGTTTGCGTTCACGCTGTTCACGTTCACGATCCTCGCGATCTCTTTCGCGTTCCCGCTCCCTTTCCATTTCACGCTCACGTTCCCGTTCTCTTTCGCGTTCTCGTTCACGGTCACGTTCTCTCTCCCGCTCGCGATCACGTTCGCGCTCACGCTCTCGTTCACGCTCACGCTCTAATTCAGGTCTGGAGACGGCGGCAAACATTGCCTCCTCATCACCGTTTTCTAAATCTAAGCGATCGCGACACGCAGGATTGTTTTCAATTTCAGCTGCCAATCTTTCTGCTTTGGCTTCACGTTCTTTGAACTCATCGGAATCAATTTTGTCCAAGGGCAACGTGTATGAGGACAATGAATCGTCGAAATTGGACGTGACGCCAAAGGTATTTTCATTCTTACGAAACATGTCGTTGGCATCCCAACCATTGGCGGCATCATCCAATTCAATGTCAATGTCCCCATTTGTGCCGGATGGATCCCATGGTTCAAGTTCTTTTTCATCAAAACGTGAGCCTACAAAACAAAAGAAATGTGTAAACAGTATAAGGATGATTACACCCTACCTCCAATTATTATTACTTACCATTGCATTTTTCTGATATGGCCGCATCTGTTTGAAATGTTCCTCCAGTGGCATACTGTGAATCGAAATCTTTTGCTGAAATACTAACTACAGTGTCGTAGGGGAATATCATTACTTCTGGCACAGGCTTGGATTCTTCGGGAGCATTTTTGCCTAGTTTAATACATGATGGATATTCAAGAGCTACATCGAAGCTGGGTGAGAATGTACGGAAAACACCTTCGTAAATATTACCCGAACGCAGACGCATCTGTACAACGTTACCGACCAAAGCTGTTGCGGCATGCATAAAGTAGGCATTGTTATATATACCCTGAGCCTGTGGTCGTATTTTGATCGTCTGTCGGTTATCATTTGAATATCTGTAAGAAATAAAAATAATTTAATTTACAATTTAAAATATATAATTGAAAAATAAATCAAATATGTTATTTTACATTGAAAATAGTTCCGGGTATGACTATATAATTTATAATTTCGAAAATATGAAAGGTTTCAAAGAAGTCTACAAGCACGGATCACATGTAGCGAAATTAATAAATGCCGTATCTGAATTTGGATATGAATGGTTTTGAATAGAGACCGACATTTTCTTAAGGCGCACAGGAAAATCTTGAATCGTTGAGCAAATTTAGAAAACTATTTAGGTAACGTAGCTGTACCTCCGTTCGATTCGATAATATGGTGGCGAAAGCACATATGGTGTTACACAAGCTTAATAGATTTATGCAGGAATTTCGTCGGCCGGGAACCGACTCAGTGAGTGAAGGGAAAGATACAAATGGTGAAGCCTAAGGTAGTTTTCATATTAAAAAAGTCTCCTCCCCTATCAACATTCCAAAAACTAGATCCTAACTCATGACCATATGGAAATTCAGCGTCACTGCCCATCCTATGTCACCTAAGATTAACTGCTACCGAAATATGTGACCGGTCTGTCTTTGTTGATAGAAGATAGTCTGTGAGATATGATATTCTCGGCAGGAGAAAATAAGGAAAATACTGAGTAACAAGTTTCTCCCTTTTAAATTAACATTAAAATGAAATGAACGTTAAAATTCAAATATTATTTTTTGATACGTTACATGGAAAAATGTGACTTTTTAATATAGCGACAGGTGGTTGATTATTGACATCCCTCTCAGATCCAGCTTTACCTTTTATTATTGTACTGTGGGTTTCTATGTTTCTCTTGCGACCATTAAGTTTGAAGCAGTCCCGTGGCTAAAATCAAAAAAACAAATACCGAATATTGGAGGGGCCATATAGGGACTATGGGAAAAAATACTTGTAGAGTGTTTTTTTAAGACCTATAGTTTTTCAAAAAAAAAAAAAAAAAAAAAAAAAAAAAAAATCATGAAATATTTATTGATAAAACAGCATACCACGGCAACGATCGTTAAGACTCCCAGAAATACGGTCCAATGATGCCACCAGCCCATAAACAGCACCAAACTATGAACTTTTCTTTATGAACTGGAAGCTTTTATAATGCTCCCGTCTGATTTTGACAAAATCGATTTTGACAATATTGACAAATCTTCTCATTTGCGTACAATGAGCCATAAATGAGCTTTGTCTTTAAATGGAAGAAACGTGCAATGAACTTCCTTAACGGAGAACGCATGATAATAAAATTCAATGGTTTGCCTGCGTTATTCGTTTGTAGGAGGATTCATAGTTAAATTATAGGCCAAAATGAAGAAGTTTGACGAAACGTGAGTGAGCTGTTTAAACCAGTGATACCAAAAAAGGTAATAGCTAAAAAATCACCCGCTTTGTTCTGTCACAGGAGAACCAATCAAAAGTACAAATCACAAATCAGTTGAAAAATGTTATTAGGAGATATTGAAAAGTGGGGGCTGTATTAGGACTTATGTAGACCATTATTTCCTAAGGATGGTATCTATATTAAACATTTAAAACCAATTTTGAAACACTTTCGTTGAAAAATCGATTTTCAAAATACTGCATACCTGGAGCTCAAAAGTCGTGCGGGGCCGACTATATGATAACCTACAGCACAATGCATACTTAGTAGACTTCCGTAAAAAAAGAATTTATTTGAAGTAGATCATACCAATTATCAACAGTTGGCTTTAGATCAGTTATAGTTTGGTTTCAGAGGGAACTAATATATGGGAGACAATTCTGATTCGATTTCACTTAATTTGACGGAGACACTTTAATCTTTTATACCAAATAACATTGCTGTAGAGGTCATGATATTACTTCGAGAAGGATTATATTAAAACAATATATATCGGAGCCGGGCTCCATAAAATGGAATCGTACGTCCCGAAATTCACTCCATTTGGGCTGATTTTAGTCATTATTTGCACAATAAACCAAAAATCGGATTAAGCATATATATGGGGGCTATGTCGAAATCTTAGCCGATCTCGATAAAATTTGGCAAGGGTATTTCTGAGCTCTGTAAGATATCTGGAACCAAATATTATTCTTGTCTTATGCATATTAGGAAAGGGAGCTATAGCTATATCTGAACCGATATTCTTTGATGTTCTTGCTTCTAGACTTAATTCGGTAGGATGTGCTAAAATTCAGGTCATTTGGATTGATAGTGGCCATTTGATGCACAATCAACCCGAAATCGGTTGAATAAATATAGGAGCTATATCTAAATCTGATCCGATTATCACAAATTTCAATATTGGTTTTCCTAGGGACAAACAAATATTGTTTGGAAAATTTCATCCCAAATTGTTCACAAGAATACATGGACAGACGGACAGGAGGACGGAGAGACGGACTGGCATGCATAAATAGACTTAAAATGTGATTCTATGAAGATGCTCAAAAGTAACTATGGTTCTATTCTTTGAATACGAATTGTGAAATAACTCCGGTGAACAATTTCGATAAAATCATGAAAATACCGAATATCGGAAGGTACCGTCATTTGGGGGCTATGCGAAAACGTGGACTATTTACGGACAATTCGTTTGAAAGATAGCGTGATTACAACATCGCTAAGTCGATTCGGAATTTTACGCTGATCCAGAATATATATACTTTGTAGGGTCTATCAGGAGTATTTCGAGGATTTGCAAACGAAATGACAAAGCTAATATACCCTCCATAGAATGGTGGAGGGTATAAATACAAATTCAACATACCTTCCCTTCCATGAAGGAGGGAATCGTAGATCGGGGTCCACCACCTGTAGAGCGACAGCAAACTCATAGAAAATTTTTTGTTCCACGCCCTAATCACTAGTAATATAGATTTCCCAAAAAATTAATTTCCACACTAACGCACGAGAATCGGGTCATAATTGCAAACCTTAAATTAACATAGACGGACGGTCGAACACTCACATATTAGATCGACTCGAGCTATGTTGATCGGTAAACTACAAGAAGGGTCTAGCGCCGATATTTCGAGGTGTTGCACTAAAACAAACGTATAACCTCTCCACAGAGTGGTGCAGGGTATTATGACGATGACTAATTAAAAAGGCATATAAATTTTCAAACACAATTTTTTATTTTTATAATGGCTTGAAATCAGCACAGTTTTTACTTCCTTGTTTGATTTGATATAAAAATAAAGTAAAAAATATGCAATCAGATATAGAGTGTAAATAAATATAAAAATTGAAATCCAAAACTTGGGAGAAAAAGTGCCAAACATAAACAAAATTATTATTACAGCAACAAAAACATAGCAGCAAAATAATGAAGTTGACGCAATCGTCATTGCGCTGCAGAATGGAAAAATACACGAAGCAACAGCACTTAATTCCAACTACACAACAACAAGAAGAAGAAACAACAGAAGAGGGCATCAAATACTAGCATGGGATTGGAATGAGGCCACGAAAGTAAACAAAGGCAAGTGCGAGTATGAATATTCAAACGGCGACATACTGCAGCACCATCAACCAATAATAAAGACCGCCAACGATGACGGCGACGACGACGACTACAACGCAAAATGATGATGATAAGGCGTCGAAAACGAAGCCCAACTGCAGAATTTATCAGACGACAGCAGAACTGTCTGCCTCACTGGCGGCCTGGCCTGCTGTTTGTGCTGCAGCTAGCTCAAAGGAAACAAATTAAAGTTCTATGCAACCACTAACTAAATTAAAGTCGCATAGACCATCCACACTCAACGAGGCACACACAAATGAACAAAAATGAACCGAAACACAACACAGCATAGTTTTTTATGCTTTATGTACGGCGGCATGTTCACATTAATACTACACATACGTACATACATACAAGCGGTGATACTTATATGCAAAAATAAAAACACAAAACAACAGACATACTATAAAAATAACAATGGAAAAGAAAAGACAAACAAGCAGCAGCAAAATGTAGATGGCTGAGGGAGCGAGCGAATGAATGAATTAAGGTCAATTGAAAATTAAAAATAAAAAAATCAATTCACTTGATAAATACTTTTAGGACGAAATAATTAAAGTTAATTTTTGATGCACATATCTTCTTGAAAGACACACACAGTTTATAATTAGCTGGAATATATGCAATGAAAAGTATTTCGATGCAATTGCATTTGAAGAAATCTTGCTCGAAAATGTTATTTATTTTAAAATGGTTAGATAAAGCATTTTAATTGATTAATAGTACAAAACTGTATCCATCAATATGGAATGCAGGAAATTGTAAGAACAAGATTTCATTTCTAATCAGTTCAAAATAAACGACACAAAGATGCAAAAAAAAAAGAAAAGTTATTGTTGGCCGGCCGGTCATACAACTGCGGCATGAGGTAGAACCGATATTCACTTTTAATTGGAAATACCAGTGAAATCCTTTGGGAAATTTAGTAAGTCTTAAAAATTCTATAAACTGGGTACCGTTATGTGGGGGTATACCGTAGATAACTTTCTGCTTCACCATTGAAAACTTTCTGCGAGTTTCGAATAGCAAAATTTGAAACACTTTCATTGAAAAATATAGCTAAAATAATCAAAATAACGGAGTTGCATGTATTGTATTTTTACGTGACATCGATGTTACATCGTTTTTCATTACTTGGCGTCGCATTGCTTTGAAGTTGCATCATTAATGCCTCGATCAATGTCGTGTACAAATGTTTGTAGGCAAAAAGCAAATGTTAAAAAGGGGATTTCCCGTTGAAGTCTAAAGTAAATTTGTATGTAAACAAGTTAAAAAGTATCGGTCGGTTTTGCCAATGTTCGATTATTTAAATATATTTGGATTTTTCTTATGAAATTGTTGTCCCCCCATGGAGTATGTATCGAAGGAATGGGGCATTGTTGACTATTTCGTATCGGTCCTAAAAATAAATATAATGTAAATATTAAGACGAGCCAGGGTTGGACTATTTTAGTTACTTTCTT